GCCAGGGAGCACCCTCAACACATGGTCTCGGATATTCTGTAGAAATGGCAAAAACGACGAAAAAGAATAAGAAAAACCGAAGCATGGGTCATTTTGGATGCATGCCGGTCGACCGCGGGCTTAGGTCCGGTCGACCGGAAACGTGCACACTACAAGGTATTTGTTTGACTCTTTGGCCGGTCGACCGGATGGACATGCCTGGTTGACCGCGTCTTGCTTCCGGTCGACCGGATGGACATGACGATCGACCAAACCCAGTTCAGTTTACAGGGTGTTTTTTCGACCTTCTGGCCGGTCGACTGAAACATCTAGTCTGGTCGATCGCGATCGGTTTTGGGTGCAGTTTTTAGTTTCCTGATTGGTTTGGGTTTCTGTTTTGATATAAATAGGAACACATTTTTCTAGGGTTTAAAGAGACGAATTTGAGCAGATATCGAGAGAGCTTTTGAGCACCTTTGAGGGAGAATTGATGAGGGATTTGAGAGCTTTGTTTGAGGGTTATATTTGTGAGATTATTGCGAGATTGTAAACCCTATTTCTATTCTCTTTCTCTCTATTAGTGAAATCTTCCCCCTCCTTACCCCGTGGACGTAGGCAAATTGCCGAACCACGTAAATTTGGTGTATTGATGTGTGGTGCTTGTGTTTTGGGTTATTCTGATTTGATTTCTTTGTGTTTTGGGTTATTGTGATTTGATTTCTTTCTCCTCGTTCATTCGTTTTTGTTTCGTTCGCTGCGCACACCAAGTGGTATCAGAGGTTCAGGTTGGCTTGGAGTTTGATTTGGAGGAGAAAGCTAGGGCTTCTACAAGGGATCTGGTGCAAATTCTTGTTTGAATAAGATTGGATAGTGACAATGACCGAATCAAGTGCATCCGAATCGTCCCTGACACAAAGATTGATGTTCAAAAATTTGATGGCAAGATAAATTTTGGTTTGTGGAGGTGTCAAGTGATGGATGCGTTAGTTGCTCAAAATTTAGAGGAGACTCTTGAATTATAAGAGAAACCCGATGATATGGAGGATAATGTTTGGAAGAAAATTAATAGTAGAGCATGTGGAGTTATTAGATCATGTTTGACGTCGGATCTGATTATGATGTGATGAATGAAACGTCAGCAAAACGGTTGTGAGAAACACTCAATGATAAGTACTTGACGAAGAGCATTGAGAATCGGCTTCATTTAAAGAAGAGGTTTTACTGATACGAGTCGCCGTGCGAGCACCCTTTGGTCGCGGAATTACCAAAAGGTGGGTTGAGAAGAAGACAACTAAAACACAAGAACAATTCAGTTTGGCGAAGGAAAATACATTCTCTAGATTATGAAGAATCAATTATTACAAATCTCTCCCTCACAATCTCACTAGAATCGAGAACAACCTCTCAATCCTCTCTAAACCCTAATACAATGATTAGAATCTCTCTCTGATCTAAGATCTCATAGATCCTCTGATTACAATCTAAACCCTAATCCTTTTGATTAGGATCTCACTTAGACCTAAAACCCTTTAGATCTACATCTGGCCTCTCCTTTCCGTTTAGAACCCTAAACAATCCCTATTTATAGGGTTTACAACGTAGTGGCAAACTGGTAAATAACCAAGCCAAACCCAAACAGGAAAACACGTAAACAGAATCCTTAACGAATCTGGAAAGCTCCGATGAGTCGACTCATGAACAGTTATGAGTCGACTCATGACCTCATATGAGTCGACTCATAACTGATGAGTCGACTGGTTAGAGACGTTTTTGCTAACAAGGCTTGAGTTCTTGAGTCGACTCATGACAGGCATGAGTTGACTCAACCTGATGAGTCGACTCATGTACATGTATGATTCGACTCACAGGCTGAAATTTAGATTCTTCGAATCTGCTGCTCGTCGTCTCGTTCCACGCTTCCACCTGTGCTCCGCTGTGTCGCTTCACACCATTATTCTCAAGATATCATGAGAATCACCTATCCTCAAGCTCCCATGAGGATCGCTTTTTTTTTCCGAAGAGAAGATACACCCGTATTATTTACCAATTCAAAATGAAAAGGGGGGTTTCCATTAGAGAACATGTTAATAATTTCACGAAATTGCTGATGGATATGGTCAATGTGGATATCATAGTTGAGGATAAAGATAAGGCGATGTTGTTACTATGTTCGTTGCCAAAATATGATTATGGTACATTTGTCCTTACAATGATCAATGGTAGAACCACTGTTAGTTACAAGGAGGTGACCTCAGCATTGGTGAATTATGAGTTGAGGAAGAGTGATGGTGAACCCTTTGAGAAGGCATCGGGAGATGTGTTGGCAGTGAGAGATCATAGTCCCAAACCCCGTCCATTTAATCGCTCAAAATCGAAGCAAAGAGGTGGTCGTAGAAGCGTGGGTAGAAATCAATGTGTGTGTGTGTTTTTTTTTTTTTGCAAAGAGGATGAACATTGGAAGAATGAGTGCCCAAAGTTGAAGGATAAACCTGGGAAGAATAAGGGGAAAACCGTACAAACTTTAGAGGTGAATGTTACCAAAGCTAGT